CCCTTTTATTAAGTTTAGCTTTTCCTTGAACTGTCCATACAAAGACAGACATTCTCAAAGCTACCATCTACATCGGCACTCTATGAGGATATCCAAGCCTGCTGATTGGTCATATAGGAACCAGAAATTGAAGGTTGGCGGGAAGGACGGCCTATTCTCTGCTATGATTTAATGGGAACACATTGTGAGAGAGAAGGGAGGGAACACTGACACCAAAAGGAATATCTTGACAGCCTATGCCGTCAGCAGCTACAGCCTTTACTTTACTCCACGGGTTCACCTACATTTTGTTCAGAGGCAACCGTTTTAATAACTTTTCCTTCTATGGTTGTGAAAATAAAACAAGCCGCACAGGTAGATCCCAAGTGAATGGCAAGCCACAGACTGACACAGGTTATAAAGTTAGTACAAACTACTATGCACTGGCTGGTACAATACACAAACTAATGGTTGTTATGTTGGTTAGTAGTTAAAGGTCTTGTGTAAAGAGTACCTGTCTCCTACACACAATGAAGTCCCAGTCTTTTCTTCCTGCACACTAGGGATGCACCGATACGAGTATCGGTGCCGATGCAGAGTATTTGGGCGAGTACTTGTAGTCGGCCAAATGCTCTGATGCCTAGCCGATACTTCCGGTATCAAGAAGCAGGGCAGCGAGTCATTAAAGGCCCCCGGCTTTCTGTTTGGCCAGAAAGCCAGCTTCATGCTCCCTGGTGATGAGGGAGCATGGAGCCGGCTTTCTGGCCAATCAGGAAGCCGGGCAACGCGCCATCACACAGAACACCGGCTTCCTGATTGGCCAGAAAGCCGGCTCCATGCTCCCTCATCACCAGGTGACGAGGGAGCATGGAGACGGCTCCCCTGCTAATCGGGAAGCCAGGTGGCCAGTCATTACACGCCGCCTGGCTTCCTTATGGGACTTCTGGTATCGGTGAGTACCCAAAGAATAAGGGGGTATTGGCGATATCTTCAAGGTGGCTTTGACTGCAGGGATACCAGGACCTCTTGGTGAGCTGGTAGACGGAACAATGGTTCAGCCTACAACGTCACTGAGTGTAGAAGGACAGGTACACTAAAAGTAGACCTCTGTGAGTAAGACGGCAGGGGCAGTGAGGGTTAGCATGTTAGTAGACACATATGAGCTGGTGGCAGGGGTGGACGGTTATTCCATGCAGTTAGGTGAAACTCCAGAATCTGCAGTGGCATCTTCCCGAATCTCTCGTCAGCAAGTCGGGTGCAGGCCTATGAAACGTGCGTAGCTCTGGGCACGTATATACTTCCATTGCATACACAGAGCTCACAAGGGCATATAGTTGTCAAATGATCTTCAGCTTTTGAGAAAACATCTCTTCAAGTTAGTTTCTAATCCTTTAAACCTTTAAGCAAAGCCATGCCATCCTTGTTAAACACCTTAAGCTACTTGATCAACTCCTCTGCTAGTTTAAGTCGTCACAGGAGGCAGGGGAGGAGTACATGGTGCCTTTGCTTAGAAGGATTAGGGATACAGAAGAAAATAATGCAAGGTCCCACATTTGACAACAGTCAAGTCAACTTTATAGACATACACCTATAATATAACATTAATAACCTTTTGCATTTTAAAGAAAATATCAAGACATTTCACAATTTTGCATAAAATAGATTGATGAAAACGATATTTCAGAGGTGACTTGTCCTCGAAATATCACTTTTTTTTTCTTAATTAACAAGGACCAATACTCAAATGTTGACTTAAAGCCGTGTTAGTAGAGAGCAACTGTGTATAAATATGTAGGTCCCAGAACTATTTACAGAAATGTAGAAAGCCTGATGAAGGGATCCAAGGAACACTGAGATTTTTTTCCCGGTACTCGCCGATACCGATTACCGATACCGGAAGTCCCATTAAGGAAGCCAGACGGCGTGTAAAGACTCGCCACCTGGCTTCCCTATTATCAGGGAAGCCGTCCCTATGCGTCACGTCACTAGGTGACAAGGAAGTATGGAATCGGCTTTCTGGCCAATTAGGAAGCCGGGCGCCGTGTAATGACACGATGCCCAGCTTCCTGATTGGCTGAGAAGCCGGCTCCATGCTCCCTTGTCATAAGTGACGATGGAGCCAGCTTCCCAGCCAATCAGGAAGCTGGGCGCCGTGTAATGACTTGTTTCGAGCTAGGCGTTGGAGCATTTGGGAGAGTACGAGTACTCGCCCAAATACTCGGCATCGATTCCGGTACTAGTATCGGTGCATCCCTAATCTTTATTAAATCAAGTTAGCCAATAAAGGGAATCACTTAGGCCCCTTTCACACGGGCTGATCAGGAGGGGATCCGTGCACACATCCCCTCCTGATTGGAGCGGTACAGATCAGACGTCATCGCTGAGACATCCGTGTTTGTCCTCCATCTCGCGATGGATGAAAAACCTGAAATGACTGGACTCCATGACAGTCTATGGGGAATCGGATGTAAATGGCCATGTGTCTCAGATTACCCCCGATCCGGCACGGTCAGGTCTGTTAAATGGAACAATGTTCTGCTTGTTTTTCCGGACCTGGCCGGAGTTGGGGGTAACCGGGTATAAATGGACACCCGTCTATCTAGACTTAGCCTAGCATTGGGCATCTTATCAAGCCCACTTGAAAAACTGACAGGCGGACCCGATGGGGCCACCCGTGTGAAAGGGACCTTAAGCTCCAAACTTTCTGCATTAAAGTTGTAACATTCTTGCTGGGATGAAACACCTTTCATTTCACCTTTCAATGGCATGGCGTCAGTCATGTCAAAAAAAGATGTCTGTTATGGGAAGTCTTATATCCCAACCCCCTACTGTTGGCATAAAGGTTCAGCGTTAACTGTGATTGTCCCCATGTCGCTTCTTTAAATTATATTTGAGTATAGGCCTTTAAGAAAAAAAAAGCTCTGTTGTCCATAGCAACCAAAAACATGCTTCATTTTTCAGTTAGCACTAGAAAAAAAAAAATCAACGCTGGACTCTGGTTGCTATGGGAACAGACATTTCCTTGTATTTTTTTCCTCTGTTTTCTATAACAAGCTTTTTTTTATAACAAGCTAAAAAAAGACAATCTGGTTAAGGGCGGACATAGGATTGCAGAGTTCAGGAGCCAGTCAAGTCAAGAGTGCAGTCAGCAGGTTCTTGTAAGGCGGATAAGCCACAAGCTCTTCAAATGGAGAGAGCTTAAATATTGGAAAAGCAATTTTCTACTCGCACACCTCGGCTACCTGGCTCCTGGAATTTGCTCAGCCTACAACCATTTCAAATATATCAATGAAGGTTCTCATTCATTCAGGTCATTGTATATCTGTAAAAAAAAATGAATCAATCAAGGCAACTGGACTTGCTGTATTTTTCTTGAAGACGTTTCACTGGTCATCAGGCTAGCTATCTTAATTCAGAATGACATGAGTTGAGAAAGCCGGTCTGATGTCCAGCGAAATGCCTTCAGGAAAAATACAGCAAATCCAGTTGCCTTGAGTCATTTTTTACAGAAACATTTCAAATATATACAAATATAAAAGATGTCAAAAAAGACAAAAACGCAGTATTGCACATTTCACAATGTGACCTGAAGAAGAGAGTTTCACTCTCGAAAGCTTGTCTTGCATATATTTTGTTAGTCCAATAAGAAAGGTATCATTGCACACTGCAATCCCGCGTTTTTGTCTTTTTTGACATCTTGTCTACTGGACTAATACGGCTTACCCATTTATATTGCACAAATTAACATATATACATATAAATATGTACAAATATCTGCACCATTATAAATACAATAATTAGAAAAAAAAATCAGTTTTAAATCCCCAAATCTCTGCAGCCGGAAAATCAAACAGTATTATTGCCGCAAAGATTTTTAAAAATGGACCCAGGGCAATCTTAACTAACTTTGTTCCTCTGGACTCTTAACAGAATCAGACAGGAAAGACGGGGAACATGGCAGACCAGCCTCAGGGAATAACGGCTGGTCTACCATAGACTCTTCAAGCGTGGCGCATGAGCCCAATTCTACGCAGGAGACAAAAGCTAGTTATCTGACCAGTGCAAATCAACCGGGTGATATTTTGGCTCCAAGGGCCAGAAGGGGGTTCAGTACTGATTTTTTATGTATAATTGTATTCATCCTTTAAAGGAAGGAAGCCATGTTTGGTCTCATTTAGGAAAAGCATCAGAAATTCTATTCCTTGGAAGATGCACTTTTAGCAATGTTTAGGGCTATAAAAAAAAAATATGTTTCGGGGGAAACATTTAAATGAGGGGAATTTATCAAAACTTGAGCAGACAAAACCTGGAGCAATTGCCCATGGCAACCAATCAGCTTCTATCTTTCATTTTCAAATCTTAACTTGAGAGGCGTTTGGTTGCCCTGGGCAACTGCTGCATATTCTGTCTGCTCCAGTTTTGACAAATCCCCTTCAATGCGTTTCCGAAAAAGCAGATCAGGCCTCCGACGTGGCTTTCCAAATACAGGTCTGAACAGGCCAGACAGCCACGGGTTACCGTAAGATCTCCATGAAATATAAAACATTGACTTCATAAAGTTATTAATCTTCCTCGAATAAAATTCAGATGGTGTATCAATTTCCTGCAAACCCACAACATTAAAAAGAGCATAATGATTTAAGATGTGAAACCAGTCAAGCCGCCCCATTCCCCCCCCCCCACATCTGATGTTTATGTTAAAAGCAAAGAATATAGAAAATTCTCAGAGAACTAACCTCCGTCGTTGGCCAAAAAGACGCGCCACTTCCTCCCTCCCTGGGCTTCGCGCCCGCGAAATCTGCTCCAGCTTTTTCTTCTCTACCTGGAAGAGGTCTCTGTGCGAGATCCGTCGTGCTCGTGGGACGTCAGCCAGAAGGGTATACTCTCTGTTGGCCGGGAAAAGGGGGACGGATGGCGTTCTCGGATCCGGTTCTAGCTCCTGTAGTTGGCAGTGGCCGTTACCTGGGGGAGAAAAGGGGTCTTGTTCCTGGTCAAGAGTTTCGTAGACACTATACCTGCTTGGGGGGTCAGGCGTGGAGGGCGAGGACGGTGTTTGTAAGGGCTGCTCTTCGCTTTTCAAATCTTTCGTCTTCTCTAATGAGAAGTAGCCGCTTTCCACGCGCGTTTTACGCCCGACGTCGACGCGATCTCCGTTTACCATTCCTCCTTCTAGGGAGAGAGCGCAGGTTGCATTGTAAAAGACAGTAATCACTAGAAAGGTGTACAAAAGCAAAAATACCTTTGCTAAAAAGCACCTAAAAAATACTCAAAGCCTGCGACATATCTCCAGTAGGCAGTGCTAATGTGTTAAAGAGCACCTGTCACTCTGGTGAGGAAAGGCGACATTAAGATACCACGCAAAAGGTAGAACTCCACCATGCCTGACCAATGCAGTCTGCGCACCACACTAAAGAGGTGCACACCTCTGAAGGGGAAGTCAGAGTTCTCTAAAGCTAAAGTTCGGTCATTATTTTCATCTAGGATCGGGATTTAGTTAAATCAGTAAACATATGACAGGATTACTACCATCCCATTCCTACCAATTAGGTGGAAGAATTGTGTACGACTTACTTGCATAGTAACATAGCATTTGAGGTTGAATAAAGACACAGGTCCATCAAGTTCAACCTTTGTGTGTATGTATGTGACTGTGCATGTGTAAGTGTGTATACGAGTCCCCGTGTGGTCTAGTTTTTAAGTGTACCTGTACCCCTGTATGTTGCGGTCCTCGAGGAAGGTATCTAAATGCTTTTTGAATGATTCAATACTCTCAGCTGATACCACTGCTTGTGGCAGCGAGTTCCAGACCCTCACCGCCCTAACTGAAAAAGAATCCCCTACGCCCCTTGTGGTTATATTTTTTTCTCCACCAGTTTTAGTTGGTGGCCTCTAGTCTTTGTTATGGAATTTACTGTAAAAAGTTTATTGCTGATGTTGCCATCACCACCAAACATCTTGTACATCAGAATCATGTCCCCTCTTAATCTCCGCACCTCCAGCGTGAACATGTTTAACTTTAGTAACCTTGTCTCAGCTTTGGTCCTCCATCCCCTTAATTAGTTTAGTTGCCCTTCTCTTGACTCTCCAGCTCAAGGACATCCTTTCTGTGGACTGGTGACCAAAACTGGACCGCATACTCTAGATGAGGCCGAACCAGCGATCTATAAAGTGGCCAAATGATTGCCTTGTCTCTACAGAACATTCCCTTTTTAATACAAGACAGCACTCTGCTCGGTTTGCTACAGCCTGGCATTGCAAGCTATTGTATACGAGTCCCGGACTTGGGGAGAAAGTCATTACTTGCAGGCTGATAGCTCCCGGCTTCAGGATGTAGATCAGTAAACTTAAGTAGATCGTGTACAAGGACATCATCACTTATGTAGATCAGTGACAAATTTAACTCAAACCCCAATCCTTTCCAATATGGGGGACGATTCAGTGCAGCTTGCTTGTGTCTTTGACTTAGTAGCCAAAATCATTATTTGCATGCCGATAGCTCCCAGCTTCAGTTTAATCTTAGTGACAAGTTAACTTTAACTCCAGTGTAGCCCAAAATATTAAATTGCGCCCCTCGCCACCTCCAGGATATGCAAAATATAAAGCTTGTTTGGTCTCCGGGGGAATCTAACAGAGAGGAATACTTCCTATACTCCAGGGTCCAGCAGCAGTAGGCACTCTGATCTTCAACAGAACATGGGCGGCCTCTCGATATCCTTACATACAATGTAGGACATGCGGTGGCCATTGGTCCTGCGTTATATGCGATGACAACAACGTGACCAGTGGAAGACCTACAAGAACTGCTGCTTCGGGGCACCAGTGGGGAGGAAGACTGCAGGACCGTGGAGTAAGGTAAGTAATACTCTCCGCTAAACCATCCCCTGAAGACCAGAATTTTCTGCATCTGCCGGGGCACTCACAATTTTTGGCCAAGCCACGGTTACTTTTGGATAAGGAGAATAGGTATCTCTGTTCTGAGAAGCTGCTGAAAAGAGACAACTGAAGAGCAAAAATGTAAAAAAAACAGTAGACAACTTTATGCTTCCAATGTTCTCTTCCCGGCAGCTTGTCAGTGTCATTTTCACTCCAATATAACCGCAAGAGTCATGATAACGGACAGCAACACCTCAAAGAAGAACATCAGATAAAAATGAAGCCATTGGTTCTTCTTCAGGCTAGGTCTACTTGGCTAGGTCTGCTTCTTGGTTTCACAGTCAGCTTCAGAAATTTGGTAAACTCTAATCTCCGAGCACCTCCAGAACTAGTGATGACTGGTTTCTTCTCAGCTTACACATACTGTATATACTGAGCTGTACGTTAGAAGTAGACCAGCATTGCTCAGAAGTCTTTCATCCAGACCTTTGGGGTTATAACAATCAAAAAGGAGCTGAATGTGGAGCTGAGTGTCTGTTTAGGCTTCAGAGTAAACTCCGATCCCGAGAACATGGAGCTCTGCCAAAGCAACTACACGTACCTCTCTAGTATTGAGCTTTTGGCTGGAGACATGGTGCATCTAAGGAGGACACTGTGTGACCTGACACAGAATAAAGACGTTCCTATTGCATTAAGACCATCAGTAATCGATCAAGCTTTATCTTGAAGAGGTTCTAATGTTCTACCATATACTAGAACAGGCATCGTAAGGTATGGGTATGAAAGGCTTGACAGCAACACAAGTCTCCCACCGCCTCTCATTAAACTCACCTCCTTTGTTGTCCTGCGCTGGCTCGCTTGGGGAGGAGGGCATCTGAACCGGGCTCTGCAGGGGACTGCTGCTGCTGCTGCTGTCCTGCCCATTTTTGCCCTTCACCTCCTCCTGCCACAGCGTGGATTTGGTGGCTGGAACCTTCTCAGCGCTAGGGATCCCGGTACTGGTTGCTGCCATTTTTGCTGGTCCGGGTTCCTAGGATAGAAGGTGTATAATAGTTCATTATACTTTGTATACTTAATGAATATCGGATAGAAACTCACCTGGAAAACACAGAACGCAGCTTCGTATTTGAATGCAAAGTTGCCTTTTCAACGAGGAACTCTGGAAGCTGTGCCCAAATACAGGACAGGTAGGGGGCAAACGACTAGTCACCAGTATTGCCTGTGGTCTCCCTGCACTTGATCTTTCCCCTCTACTGACTTACCATGCCTTGATCTGCACTGTGCCTCTGTGTGATGTCGGCCATCTTGATAGAGGCGGGCTTTGCTTCCTCATATTAGAGGCTCCAGCAAGGAGAACAATGAGCAGCACAGAAGTGAAATCACCAAACCTCACTGAAAATCTCATGAAACTAGCAGTGAGAGGCAGCTGTGTCTGAGATCTCCCACTGCGGATATACAGCTATGAGACTAGAGGCACCCTCACATACCAGGAAGCGCACTGTGCAATGTTATTTTATAGGAGGCGTTCCAGACAACAGAACATTATTCAGGGTACTGCTTATGCACCATTGAGTCCAGTTACACTCCAAGTCTTTCTTCTACCTAGAAGACCCAATTTGCTCAATGACAATGAGGAGGCCTTGAGGATGAATTGATCGCATGGTAGATTCTGGGGTGGTGACACCAATGCCAAACCTCTGTATCAGGCTTGTCACCAACTCTTGCTGAATATGGACCAGCATGCATAGAGAAGGTGGAAACTTAACTGTATTCCTAATGGGCAGAGAAGGAACTTAAAGGCCACAAAGTGCACTGGAATACACAGTTCAATAGTTACCGTTGTCTAAAAGGAAGAGACGATTTCTGATCAGTGGCTACACACAACTGCACCCTCTCATTGCTGTTTGCTTTGCAGTAAAAGACTATCTCCATGTTTTACACTACAGTCAGTGACCCAAAATGGGAGGATACAGCTATTTACCCCTCATCATCATCACCGTCTCTGCGCAGTGTTCCTGAATAAGCCCGCGTGAAGTGTGTCCTACTTTCCGTCCTCTACAGACAAAAGGTGCCCTTTCCACAGAGTGAACTCAGATCTGTGCTCAGTCAGGCATTCCCCACTGCATGTCATGTTCACTCCAGGCACTGTTTTGCTGTGGAAAGGTCAGGCGAAGGTTGTGGCCGGGCTGCAATTTATTAGGCTTGACCTAATCAATGGCGATACATTTCCAATGCATGATAGGCACTGCAATCTGCACGAACATTAACCTTTCAGAGAAATTCAGCAAATGAATGATGTGACGAGAGAGGCATGGCCTGCAGGCAGAAGCCCATTCTGGAGTTCTTAGAGGAAAGCAGGGATACCGCTGCACTCGGACACACGTAGTGCCCCACTAGAGACATTCTAGAGCTTCAATACTCCCAAGAAAACTACAGCTGCTGCCTTCTGTGATGCAAATCTGCCGCGGACAGTGGAAGCACATGTGTCCCAGCTCCACCAAGAACACCTGTCACTTGGGTAGAGTCATCCAAGTGTCAGGAGAAACTACAAGCAGGCCACATATCTTCTTGTGCAACCCGGGAACCCCTCCAGCTGGAGCACTCGGTGTGAAATGACGGCCACCAGCTCAGAGGACACAACCGCCCTTCTCTGTTGGTAAACGACGCTGCCATACTGAGCACCCCAACTCCTGACTCACTGGGAGTCACCGCCTTTAAGGTCCATGTCACTTTATCCAAACAACAAGATTGCTTTCAGACCATTTGTGACCAGAGGTCCTTGTTCCCGAGACACCCAGAACAAATGTAGCAGTTTCAGTATGCATCAGTTAATGTGACAATAACTAATTTTCCTTGTTTTTAATGGGCATGTAAGGCATTGGGTACAATGTTTTAATAAATACCATGCTCAGATTAATCATTATAGATTAATGAACAAAAAAACCCAACAAAATCTACATTTTTTATTAAAATATTTCTCTCTCGTCCCAATGAGTGTGCAGAGAATGAGATACAGGCAGTGACAGCAGTTTACAAGCAAAGCCATGTGATCACCAGATCATAGCCGACATGGCAATCACATGATCAGCCTTTGCGGATTGTTTCTCGATCAATAGTAGAGCCCGGGAGCTGTCAGTGACAGTGCAGTCCCATATCTAGGATGATGCAGCTTGTGCTCCTTCCTATCAAAGGGAGCGCAGATTACCATTCACTCCACATGGGGATTGTTTGTTTTTGCTGAGGAACATTTATCTACAGACTGCAGGTGGGAAGAGGTGAGACAAGACCAATAAATGACAAATTATACAAGAGCAGGGGCTGACAGTCACTTACTCTCCCCATAACACCTCCTGTCATGTAGCATTGCATTGCCTGTTCTTGGGTCAGCCTTGTGGGCACCGGGGCTGGTAGAGGGTATAGGCCACGCAGGCTTCGGACATCCTTCTAACTGACACTATGAAGAGTTGGGGAGGAAGTATTGCTATGTTGTCCCTGTGCTAATGATTATTTGCTCAGTTTTCCTCCCATGCATATGATGATCAGTGAACTGTTGCAGACAAACGATAAAGCTGCAGGACTTTGGCACAGGCACAGCGTCAATATTGTCATCAGAAGGCAGCCATGTTTTTGTAGCCCATTCTTAATTCTCAGACAGACGCGCTAGCTTGGGCAGAGCTGTCCTCTATAATTCATCACCGATCTTTTGCCAGCCTTGGCATCTTGTCTAAATGTCACCGGCACTTGGTGGCACATATCTCTCCACTAACATAAGCAAAGTGGCGCTCGAGCTGAGGGATCCCACGCAACTCGAGGGAGTAGGATGGGGTGAGTCAGAGAGACGACTGTCTATTACCATGTATAGTAAGAGCCTAAGGCTGGACACAGAGACCCTTCTCTGACATCATTTTCTACTGTGGGGGATGATGGAATTTCACCCGCGTTATCAGGGAGAAGAGATGAGGCCCAGGACCCTGTTTAATACCTTAGACCTCCCTGTTTTCACAATTCACAGCCAAGATCTGCTGTTTGAGCTCCACTGATGGGTTAATGTTCTTACGGGATGTGCAGAGTGCAGATCATCTCTACTGTGCATGAAAGCCTAAGGTAATGCAATGCAATAGAGAGAGGTTCTAACCAGCCAAGGTATGTTGAAGGCCCAAATGGTACCACACCCCTGGCAAGACTACCATAAACCAGCCTTTCTCAGCTAGCATGCCGTCTGGCTTCTTCAGGGGTGCCTTGAAATTTTGGCCAGCACATGTGAACAGACAGGGCTCAAGACGCATGTTACTGCTGAACACTTCCCCCCCCTAGATTTACTTATGGAACTTCCACAGTCTACTAGGATAGGAGTGTTGAGTGCCATCACCCCCAGTTCTCCCTGCAGCATGTCCCTCTGAGATTCCTTCAGAGAGAGTAAATTACGGTTCTGAGGTCAGCTCAGCCCCTGCTACGTTTTCACTTTCATCTGTATGCATCTGAGTAGTAATGTGTTCAGGTGCAAAACGCAGCGTTCATAAGCACAGCCTGCCCATCACTTCCTGCATTTGCAGGCAGGCCCATCACATGCAAGTAGGAAAAAGAGAAGACACCTTACCTGCGGAGTGGGGGGCTCCACTTTCCTCTTCTTCTTCTGATTCTGCTTGTTGGTCTTCGGGTACACAATCAACATCTCCAACCAACTGCAGGAAGGAGGGGAAAAAAGCCGCACATGAGACCCTGTGACAATGATACACAATGCTGCTGTACTGTCATCAGACTCCGGGTCTGCTGATTA